GAAATTTGGACGAAAGCAGAGCAAGAAAAGCAGGCACAGTCGAAGCAGAAGATCAAAGCACAAGTCTAGGCGGTCTGATTATAGTTTCCTTTGACATGCTCCCCCACTTTTATCTCTTGTAATCCTCCAGTAAGCTTTAAGTGATTTTACCTCCCTTTTTGCAGCAGCTATGATGATTCAAGTGATAGCTCTAGTGGTAGCAGTAGCAGTAGTAGTTCTGGCGATGAGAAAACTGATCGTCGCACCTCAATTCGTCAAAGACATGTTGGCAACAAAGCACAAAGAAATCTACGTATGCTATTTATTTAATTCTTATGATATGTCCTGTGCCCTCTTCTCTCCCTTTTCCCCTCAACAAATTCTCTATGTTGTGGTCTAAGCTTATAGCTGCCCTTGTTGCAGACACAGAAAAACAACCTTCTAGTCTTCCTCGGCAAGATCAAATTATTCCAGAGCAAACAACGGATACCGAGGTTAGAAGAACTGTGGACAAGCAATCACATGAAGAAGGTGAATTGTCTCCAGAAAATGGGGCATTTGTGAATAACGGGCATGATACTAAAGCTGAATTTAGTGAACCTGCTAAGCAACATGCTAATTCAGATGATTCAAAGGAGAATAGGTTTTGCCTCTTGCTTTCTTAGCAGCTAATAATTATTCATGTCATGTAAATTTTGCTTCAATAAATTTCAACTCCATCCTGAGAAGTTTGCCTGACATCTTTTATATCCAGAAGTGCAAGAACTGGGCGAAGTCCTACCAAGGATTCTGGTGAGCTAAACCAGGGACGTGCTTTGTTGCTGGCTAGTTCTGGTCAAAAAGCATCTGAACATGCAGCCCCTAAACATGGTCAAAGGTTTTCAAAAAGCCCTTCACCAAATGGCACACCTAAGCGTATTAAAAAAGGACGCGGCTTTACTGAGCGTTATGCCTTTGCCCGCAGATATCGTACTCCATCTCCTGAGCGGTCACCTCATGCATATAGGTATGGTGATAGAAATATAAGAAGGAACTTTGATAGGTATGTCTAATTGTCTACATTATTTTATTAAACCGGATTATTTAATAATGTTGGACATTGTTCTTAATTGGTATATGTTTGCTTGAAGAAACACAAGCTACAGAAGTTATTCTGAGCGCTCTCCACCACGACGTTATCGAAGCCCACCTGGTGGCAGAAATCGTCCAAGGTTCTTCCTCACTAGATTTTGTTTGACTTTGCTATGTAGTTAGACCATGATGCTTCCCGTTCGTTGCATAATTTTAGCATTTTCTTAATTATATATTACTAGAAAGGTTTAACATGTAGTATAAATGTTCTCTGAATTAAAATGCATTTCTCTGTGCATGCTTATTTTGTAATGTTCAAATACAAATAAGGGTCCATTTGTTTGAAGTTTTTATTTAAAAAGTAAATTCTTTCCAATGCAGACTTTGTTGATATATTTTTTGTAAGCTACTATTTTTAATATTAGAATAATACCGTAATAGTAACTTTTTTTAGGTTTTCCCTTTGTGGAAAGACAAACATAATTACTATGAAATTTGATCACTTAAATCTTTTTCTTAAAAAAAAGCTTAAGCAAATGAGACTTAAATTATGGATATTGAGGCCAAATCATATGCATATCACATTGTTTTTTTCTCTCTCAAAGAATAGGACAAAATACGCAAGGAAAATGCATACATGAGCTTAATTTCTTATCTATGGTTTTAGATACCAAAGCAGGAGAAGTCTCAGTAGGAGCATCTCTCGCAGTCCAGTGCGTGGGCGTTTTAGAGACCGTGACCGGAGTCGGAGCCCAAGACGTAGTGTTAGTCCTGAAGACAGGCGACCTCCAATAAGTGACAGATTAAAATCCCGACTTGGTCCAAGAAGCGATGAACGATTGGCAGACAGAAGGGGGAGGTCAAAGTCCAATTCTAGGAGCAGTGGCTCATCTCCGTCCAGATCCCCTGATGCTACACCACCAAAACGATATGATAAAAGGACTTCCCTATCTCGTAGCAGGTCTAAGTCCAGCTCTTCTTCCGGTCAGAAGGGTTTAGTTTCTTATGGAGATGCTAGTCCTGATTCTGGAGTAAGGTGAGTATTATGCTGACTTAATCCCAACTCTCAAGTCTTAGCAGCAGGGGCGACGTTAAATTGCTGTACTTTGATTCTATTACTGGTCCCCGAATGAGTTATGTTGGGCATTTTATGGCAGCTTATTTCCCATGTCCTCACTGAAGTTCTGATATTGATCCTGAATTCAAGGACCTAGTATTGTGCATTACCTTAAAAACGAGCATATGTTAGTTCAACAAAGGTTATCGGTGCCAAAACTTGAATGATGCGCCTTGAATCATTGTGTTCATAATATTTTTTTGTTAACGTCAAATTTTTTTCTGAATTTCATCCTACCCGAAATAAAGAAATGGCTGTTTTTCATTTATTTTTTAAACCAATACATATATTTTATTCCAAAGCAATGTTCATATGAATTAATCATACATTTCATTAAAAAATATATTAAGTAATAAATCATATAGAAATTCATTACCTGCTAAGTACAAGTATAATATATATATATATATATATATATATATATATATATATATATATATACCTTAGTTTTTGTAGATCGAAATGACCATTTTTTTCATTAAATTAAACCATCAAATTCCCTTAAACAACTATCGAAATTCTAGTAATTCTTTTCAACTTTTGTCCAGATCTGTAATCGTAACCTTGTTAATCCTTCATAATTGTTAGGATATTTATTTTATTATTTATCATGTATTTTTGTATTAATTTATATTTATAAATAGAAAATTATGAGAGAATCAATAAATTTTTTAAAATTATTTTATAGTTTAATTTTCAAGTATAATCATGTTAGCTTGAAGTGCAAATTGTTGCGTTGCAAATGTAGGTGGGTCATGGGGTTGTTTCAAATCTGGGTCATGGGGTTTTTTCTATAGGTTGAGACGGGGTTAGGAACTGTATGGTCAGTGCAAGCATAGATCAGTTAGATGGCAACCTCCATAGTGGTTCACTCAAAGATGTATAGTTCATGGAGTTTTTGGATGAGAGATATGGGGTAAATGATGAAGGTAAAATTAGTGGGTTTGGGTGGTTTTTATAGTTAATTTTATTTTTCCTTTTCTGCGATAAAAAAAATTATTGAAATAAGTTATGGTTTAATTAATTGTGTGACTAATTTCTATAATCTACAGACTAGAAAATAGATATATTAGTGAGTGGTCCTAGTAAATTTGGTGTTTAATTTTTGTTAAAATCTCTCTAATCTCCATACCTCCATTGATAGTACGGTCACGTGTTGTATTTTAAAGTACCATGGACTATTATTTTTAATTATGACTGCTATTAATCCACCATTATAGAAAAAAAGTGAATAAAAAATATGCATTTTATGGTGTTAGTTTCACTTTTGTTGACTGCATGGATTTGTTGATGATTGCTAATTTCAACATAAGCATTGCGAAGAAGAAATTGGAGGCAATGTAGTATTATTGTATTATTAGACAGTCTTCTGCTTGCACTGTAAGCAGATACCTCCACTTAAACTCTGCAACATGTCTAATTTCCCATACTCCCAATTACATCATTCTGATGCAACCCATTCATATACACTATTCATGCTACTATACATTCTCTACTCAAATTCTCATCATCAACTCCACTAAATTCACTTTCCTACACCAAACACGCATCTCATATTTTATTACTTCTCTATATCTTCTTAAATCTTCTTACTTCAAAATCTAATATTAATTTTTTTCCCAACTTAAAACCATATGTAGTTTTTAACAATCTCCAAATTTCACATGTTTAACCTTTTTTCTCTATGTTGATTATAAGGTTAAGTGTATAATCCTTTATATGAAATTAAATTATTATATTTAAATAATTCTTTAAAATAAACGATTGATAAAAAAAATGTTTATCTCTGTTCAGAGAAATTTTTTCAAAAATATAATAAAAAAAATAATCAAATGTATTTTGTAAAATTGATTTTGATATGTTTTGAATATAATTGACTTTGTAGAAATGCAATCAATTATAACAAGTGCTTAAAAAAATGCAACCTTTCGAAACAATTGATTAAGTCAAGTTATAATTGATTAACTGTCTTGAACTATTTTATGGTCGATGAACAAACAAACTCATTGATTATTTTTGTTAATAATAGCTTATCTTATTGAATTATTGTTTAAAAAAGGTTCTATTACTTTCAAAAATATAGTTTTTATATATTTTAAATTTAGAGGGCATTATTCTGAGGAAGAAAGTTTCCTAAATTTATAAAATTCCTCGAGATTTGAAATATTGTTCAAGAATCATCAAAGGAGGATGATTTTCATTGCATAATCTATCACACATGAAGTGATATATTTCTCTATTTTTCTTGCAATTTGAAATTGAAAAACTCTGCGCCAATGTTTGGTGTATACATTAGGTAATTAAGTGTATCAATTAAAAATTTCAAGAATTGATTGTTTTTGCCTTGTTCTAGTTTACATCAATATTTCTTAGTTAGGTGTTTAAGAATTTTAGTAAAAGATTTAGTCTAGATTGTTTGGATAAACCGAATGTAGATTCCATAAGAATTAAACCAATATACAATAACCTATAAGTTTTTTATTTTTTTTATCTTAAAATTTTGATATTCTGTGTTCATAAATCACTTCATTAAATTTTTTTATCAATAATTTTAATTAAAATTTTCTTTGATTTTTTTCAGAACACCACTTTTTAGTTAATTCATCCTCTCTTGATTGTATTTTAGCCCTTTTTTTTGGTGGTAAAGGAATTTTCCAGCAAGAAAAATAGAGCGGTTTCTCACAACAGTCACACATGGTTTTCAAAATTTTAATGAATCATATTTTCTCTCTAAACTAAAGCATGCAATTCTATTATTATTATTATTATTATTATTTCAAAATATACTTTATTTAAATTAAAAAAACTTTGATCACACGAAAATTTTGTTCGAATACTACATAGGGAAAGGAGAAAAACATCATATGGTGGTTTTGTTTACATATTGGAAACGCAGAAGAAAGAAGAAAGAAGAATGATGGAAATCTACTTGCAAATGATTGGTTGGAAGTGCGGTGGAGCACTTGGTTGTTTTCTTAATGAGAGAAACTATGGCTGATGAGTCTGAGCTTTGGCATGTCAATGTGGGAGACACTCTTGTTCCATCCATGTTCACCTGAATCCCCACAACAAATCTTCAGTCAAACCACTACTTCCCATAAAAGGAAACTATTTTCATTTTCCTTTCAATTCAAACACATACAATCCTCTTTCATCACTCATCACATACCAACAATATTTCTTCAAGATACAAACCAGAAATTATATAAAAGAAGAAATATTATATCCTTGTCCTATCTTCCATACCTTGAGCATTAACTGAGGCAGTCGGTTCCATGACTTTTATATGCCTTGCCTGCATGATATACGAAAATACAATGTTAATTAGTTAATTCTACTTTTTGTAATGTAGATTTGACTTTTGGCAGTTCTGAAATTTTTTATTTCACGGTGCACTTGGTAGACCAAAACGAATGTGGTGAATCTTGCAATGAAATAATTACATAGTTTATAGCATGGTTGCTTCAGTGCTGGATCATCACTTGATCCAGGAGGATCCTCTCCAAATATCATCTCACAACTCATGTCATCAAAATCTGCATATCAATACATAAATAAAACAATCACATTCTACTCATCCATTATTATTAGCAGATGTCTTAGTGGGATTTATTTAATCATTTTATTACAGGAATTCCCCTTCTCCAATACGAGGTCCTGTTCGTTTCACCAACTCAAATTCACATAAACAGAAATTACTGTCATTAATTTATTGTTGAGTCGACCATCATTATACAATTTCAATGATTTTGGTATGAGAATCAATATCTTATTTATGGAATATAACACTATCAATGAACACTACACTCATTACTTACTGTTATTATATGGTTTTAGATACAACTGAGGTATGGAACTAATACACTGTGCAGATGTGAAACTGTTTTCCCACAACACATTATTATAAATTCATTCATAAGTTTTTTTAGTGTTTTATTTAATCTAAAGCTCTAAAACAATATGTTCATAGCTTTTTCTTTATAAATACTCAACTTTTTTATTCCTATTCAATATAAAGTTTAAGTTTACATTTGGATTCTATATATCATATTGGTTTTGTATATTCTCAACTGAGTTTGGATGGATTTATTTGCACTTTTGTATCTTAGTGGTGTGTGCATGGGTCCTATATTGAAATCATGATTCTGACCCTAATACTAGTGGACTTATAGAGACCATGATTTTTAGTTGCTTATGAAATTTATTTATTTCTTTTCTTCATATCTTTCTGCGGAACTAACCAAAAAGAGATAATCTTTTATATATATACACTATGTTCCTGTTCATTTCTTCATTTCTTACATCTTGCAAAGATCAGGAACACATGATAATCATTTTTAAAAGAAAAATGTTATAAGATAGAACTCAATGAAGTATTATGTAAGGATTGACTATAACTGTACTTTGGTAGCTTCAATCACATTATAGTCCTTTTCAAAATGAGTATAAGTCAAACAAAATTAAATAATAACTGCAGTAAACTGATTAAAAGTCGAATAATAATATAGTAATAATAATAAAGATATATTGTGTCTGGAAAACCTACTTACTGGGTACCATGTTGACTGACATTCCCAGAGAGTCCTTTATAAAAGTTTGAGATGGCATTTTGCAGAGATTGATACACATGCCTACACAACTTGTCTCCTCTAAAAACCTACATAAATTTTGTCTGAGAGAGGAATAGAGAAGCAAAGAAAAGTAACATGTTTTGGCTATTTTGCTGAAACAATCATAAAATGATATATATTTATATAACAAGTGTTCTTTAAATACTAATTAGAATTTGATAAATACAACTTTATGCTGCTAATTATTGAATTTAATTGGAATTGACAATATTGTCATCAGGTTTTATAGACTTCTTCTATACTATAGTTGTTTTTTTAATTAATAATAACATATTCATATTATTCTTTACAAATAACTTGAGACTTAAATGCTTTTTTAAGTATATACCTATTTCAAGGAATAAGTGAGTGTTTTATTTTTTCCTTAAATTCTAAATAATATTATTAACATGATTATGAATTTTGACTTCGCATATTGATTATTTAAAATCCATCGATTATTTATTATCATATAATATATATATATATATATATATATATATATATATATATATATATATATATATAAAGTATAGACAATTTTCTTTAAAAAAGATACAAATAAATATATGAAAATAAAGTTTTAAATTGTTTATTTTATGAATCAAAAACTGCTGTTAATAAAGATAAAACATTTAATAAATTGAAGACATAGCATTTTAATCATGAATAAGGTTGAAAATAAGTTAATATTTTATATTTCCACGTGTAAATAAAATAAAGATTAATATTTTTTATATAACTTTTCATTAAGAAATATAAACTTTTACAAATTATTTTAAAATATATATTTAAGATATATTTTTTATTGATAAATAATATAAAAAGTCTTCATCCTAAAAGTATAAACGAATTAAACTAAAAATGCAACAGAAATTAATATTTGAAAACTTTTAAAAGAAGAATCTAATTTGAAAGTTAGCAGTGGTCAGTATTCTCCATGTAATAATAATGATTTTGGTATTGAAAAAATAAATTGATGGTGACGATGATAATGATGATGGGAATAGAGAATAGAATGATGGAGAGAAGGTGAATCATAATTAGCAGATTGTGCGTCACCAAAATGTGCTGAAGGTGGGTGAATTGGGGGACCATTTTTTCGTTAAAGATGAACATCATATGAAAATGAAAATAAAAACACAAAAAAAAAAAACACGAAAAACAAACTTTTTTAGATTAAAAAAAAGAACCTAACCTGCATTTTGGGATGTAGACTACATTTTTTTCACTTCTGCCGTTGACTTTCGATTCCCTCACCTATGAATGGTGAGATTAATGAGTTTTAATCCTTAAAAATTATTGTTAAATCGTTGTCGGAAAGTAAAATGATGTCCATATAGGTCAATTAGCTTATTTATCATCTATACATTAATTTTAGTTTTAGATCACATCATAGTATGAAATTTCGATAAAACTGTATTTATCAACCACTCAAGATAAAGAAATGTCAACTTTTTAAATAAAAATGATTATAATCTCATTAGTATGATAAATTTACGTCTAAAAAATATAAAAAGTATTTTATAGTGAAAATACTCTTATTATAGATTCTTTTATATATATTCTTTCTAATTTAACATTTATATCACAATGTATTAGTACATCTTTTCTCAAGTAACTGATAAACAATAATAGAAGAGTGATAAACTAAACATGCTATAATGTGAGTAATCGGTAAACAATAATAGAAGGGAGTGATAAATTGATATACAATAAATGTTATATAAATGTTAGGGTTAATGTGTTTAAATGTTATATAAATTAAAATAAACTTAATTAAATTAAATTTAAGTAATTTATAAATTTGAGTGTTTTTAATTAATATTTTTATTACAAATTAGATTTATTGAGTGTTTAAAATATATTTTACTTTTGTTTAAGTATCATGTTGGTTGATTGTTTTCTCATCTCTAACTCAGTTATTAATCCGTTTATTCCTTCTTTAATATTTTTTGATTTGATGATCAATTTGTTTATTTCCTTCTCCAATAGTATATTGAGCAATAAGTTGATCAAGATTAAAGATGTGGAGTTGATCAACGTATTGAAAATAAAAAAGCAAAAATAATAAATAGATCATTCTGTTAATAGTAAAAATAAATAGTAAAATACTTAAATAAAAAAAATATATATTAAGCATGAATACATTTTTTAATTAAAATTTATAAGATATTTAAAATTTAATTAGACCATTAAACTACTGATAATAGAGAGAACGAGAAACACTTTAAATAGAAACTATTCTTAATTTTCACAATTCAACAATGTTTTATTTTCTCTTTTTAAAGATGCATTTCATTTACTCTTCATGAAATTACAAAGAAAAGTTATCTTAAATCATCTCAAGTATCACCCTTTTTTTCTCCCTATCTCTTTTATCCATGGATCTAAACTAAATTCAACAATTTAAATGCTAATAGTAAAAATAAATTTATTAATTTAAATTGTTAGCTATAAATATAAAATATGATTTATATATTTAAGATACATTTTATTATGATATATGTTTACAAATATTTATTTAGAATGATATATATATATATATATATATATATATATATATATATATATATATATATATATATATATACACACACACACACACACACATATATGTTTACATATATTATATTCAGACTGAAATATTATAAATTGATATTGTTAAAATAACCCGACTTACCCATAATCCATCCTAAAAAGCTAATAGGACGAAAATACGAATGGTTATTGTGAGTTTGAATTAGTCATGTGTCTTAAGTTTAAAACTTAGTTAATTACTGTATTTAAAATTTTGGATAGATATAGTTTTGATATCATAAATTTATAAAAAGAAATTATTTTACTCACAATTTAAAAAAAAAACATCGAATTTTGAAAAAGTAAAATATTTTCTTAAAACTATTTTTAGTCCTCCAAATCTAATTTTAAAGGAATAAAATTACTTTTTAATTAAAGAGACTTAACCTTTATAAATTTGGAGGACCAAAACACAATTTAGCTTAAATTTCAGCGACTAAAATCATGAAGAAATTTAAAATTTTATTTGATATCAAACTAATGATGTTTTAGTTTAGGTCATATTAAAAATATTTTAATCAAGATTAAAATGAAGAATTATAATCAATATTAAGTTAAGGATATCTTAGATTAAGGTGAATTGATTAAGATTAAGTTGAAATATCTTGATTGAGTTTAAGTAAATGGTGTGTTTGTTTCGGGACGCGGAAAGTTTGCGAGAAAATAAATGCATTTAAAGTATGAATTTCAAGAAATAAAATAATATTAAAACACTAAAAACCATAATTTAGTCGTCCTTTGAACTAACTTTCTTTATTGTTATTTAAAAACATTTGAAGGAAAAACACTATTCAAAAATTAAATATAATTACTAAAATTTTAAATTAATTTTATTATATATTGATAAATTAAAATGTAAGATATAATAATTAAATATTTGTAAATATATTTTATTATATAAAATAAACAATAAAAACAATTAATAAATAAAATGCATTTTTAGTAATAATAATAGGGTTAAATATGTTTTTGTTCCCTTAACTTTCAACGAAAATTGAACTAATTATTCCCTCTTCAAAACTTTGACCTAATTTAGTTCCCAAACTTTTGAAATGTGTGAATTTAATCCTTTTAACTAAATTTTGTTAGGTTTATTTGAGTTGTTTATACCGTTTGACACATTTTTGTTTCAATGTTCACTAAGAAATGCCTTTGAAACATGAAATAAAGTTAATAAAATTTGGTTAAAAGGACTAAATTCACACATTTTTAAAGTTTGGGGACTAAATTAGTCCAAAGTTTTGAAGAGGAACTAATTCCAATTTTCGCTGAAAGTTAAGGGACCAAAAACATATTTAACCATAATAATATCATTTCATTTTATTTTAATATAATTTCATGGATAATTTTTTTTTATTTTAAATATAATAACTTATATTTTATTTTAACATAATTTACAATAACAATATTTTATTTCAAAATAAATTTAAACACTAGAATAAAATTATATTTTATCAATTATTATATTTTTTTAATCTATTACACAATCACAGCGTTCATAAATTTTTATAAATTTTTATAAATTTTCTTCTCATTTCTTACCATCTTTCTCTTAATTAAAACAATTTCACATTTGTCTTCTTTTTCTCTCAAATCCATCTTAAAAAAATAAATACACAAAATAAGGTTTATAAGTGACATTAATGTTAAGATATTCTAAATAGGCAAAGGTGAAAATATTTTATTTGCGAAGAAGCAAAAATTATTTTAATTGTGGTTGAGTTGAAGATATTATGGTTGAAGTCAGTTTGAAATTACTCTAAATATGGTCGAATGAAAAATATTAGAGTTGAGGTTGAGTACAAAACAATTAAATAAATCAACCTAAAATTGGAAGTTATGATAAATAAATTAAAAAAATTACTTTGATCGATGTTGAATTCAAAATAATATTTGGTGAAGATCAAGTTAAAAATACTTTGATTGAAATTGCATTAAAGATACATATAAGTTGAAATTTTACTGAAGGATGAATTGAAACTATTTTAAATGAGAGTACAGTAAAGATTAAGTTGAATTTAATCTCCTCAATGTGAAGGTGGAGATCTTTTGAGCCATGTTGAAATTATTATGATAAATTTCAAATGAAAAATATTCTTTAGAAAAAAATAAAATTACTTTTGATCAGCAAAATAGTTTAAAATATTTTAACTAAATATGAGTTAAATATATTTTTATAAATCTATTGAGTAGAAAATATTTGTAAAAGAGTTCTAAATTGTGACTTGTTTTCCTTAAATCTTAATCCAAACTCCTATAACGAGTTAGAAGCTTTTAAACTTATTAAATAGAAACAAATTAATTACGGCCGTTAATTATAGCAAATGATATGGAATAATAGATTAGTCCAAGAGAGAAAAACGACCTCTAATTATAACTATAATACCTCCTACAATACTAAATATTGTATATATTGCTTCTCTCGGGCTGCTAATGCAAATGATTATGGTGAACTAATTATAAAGACCAGTTTGACACTGTTTCAAACTATGTAAAAGAATAACTTAAAGTAATCATATTTCATATTCATGATATAAAATAAGGAAAATAAAATTATCAATATGATAAAAAAAACAAAAAACTTTAATACTCTATACCAATCATTTTATGATAGAAAATCAGAGAGAGTACTTGCGCTTTTTTTCTTTCTTATAAAATAATCCTTTTTGGATAATGATGTTTTGAATTCGCTTTTAATTTTATTTGATATTATTTATTTTATAAATTGAAAATTTTAATTATTATTTTATTTTTATAATGAATTGTCAAACGATTATTCTTTTTTATGGAAAATAATATTTTTCCTAAAATAGGTATTTTTCTCCTTATTCTTCAATACTTGCTCTACACCTGTTTGTATTTATGTATTTTCTTTGAATTAAAGTCCTTCCTTCTCCTAGGCTTTTTAAATATTATTGAGAAACTAGTGAGATAAAACCATAGAAAAGTACAAACTAAAATGTCAATTGTTAAACGAGAAATAAATAAAAAGTAGTCTGAATTGTTTACCTTGCAAGGCCCGACTAACCAGGCAAAGAACAAAGTGGTGAAAACGGCAAAATATTCCCGTGAGAGTTTAGATGCTGGTGGTAGCACTGTCTTTATCTACCATTCCTCGTATACAACAAACACAAAACATTCATCCTTGAAAATCACAATGCTCAACAATTCAAATTAAAACCATGCCACAAAACATAACATGAATAAGCCATTTGTCACAAAATAGCATAAATCTAATAAGCTAAAAACAAAGGCAGCTTCTACAGAGCAACGAATAATTCCCAAAATTTCCTTCCCATAGAGAAACTCCACGAATGGCTTATTTCGTTGTTCAAACTTTAAAATAGAAGAAGGAAAACACGAGAGCTAGGCTCCAGAATCTTGCAACCCAAGCTTACATTATGTTACCTTTTTATTCAGTTCCTCAATGCAAACTGTGCTTTTATTGTCAGATTCACTAAAGTTGCGGTGTCATACACAAGACAAGAAGATCAAATGTTTGAAATCAAAATTCCAATACAATGAATAGCGAGTAACGAACTCACGAATGAAAGTATTGGCCTGGGGAAGGCTCTGTCCAAAGCTTGGATGATAACCTCTTGCTGCCCAATAGGGTCAAATTTGTGTTTAGCCACAGTAGCTGCTTCGACCAAGCTCTCATACCCACTCTTGTTGTTGCTGAGTCCTGCAAAAATCAAAAGCTGTAGGAAATTCTCTCCTTCAAAGAAACTATAGCAGAGTGGCAAAAGGGTATGCACCTGTGGCTTCTTGAACGCTTTTTGAAAGATGGTTTATTGCTAAACGATCAAACAAGTTATCGTTGTAGGCATTAGTTTTTCTTGGTTCTTCCGTAATACTCTCTGAAGGTCTTCTGAGCATTGCAACGGCACAAGGGTGTTCTGGTTTACGTTTGGTGTGGTTCCAATGAGTTGAACACAGTGCTGAACTCTTGTTCAGCCTAAAGCAATTTGCAACCATTTTTGAATGTTATGAGTTTGGAGTGAGAGAAAAATAAGGAATGGTGGTTGTTGTTTAAGAATGTCAACAGAGGAAGAAATGAGAGGCAGATATAAGAAGAAAGAGTGTGTGAATAGCACGTCTCACACAGTTCCTGCTATAGATTCCGGTCTTGGCATTTCCTTACTATATTAGATGCTTTCTTCTGTCGGCTTCGGATTACATATAATTCACATCAAACATACTTTTATTTTATTACACGGCCTAAGTGTCAAAACTTATTCCATGTTTATATAAACACTAAAAAATTCACGTCATAAAATGTTGAAAAGTCGTACATAGAACATACAAGAAAAATCCCTAAAATTACTGTGGGCATGGAGAGGCTTAAAAATGCTCTGAAACTCAAAGTAACTAAAAACGATACTGAACAGACTTAGTTTTTTCCAGATATTCCTGTTGTGTAATTTAGTTTTATTTCAAATTTCTCGGATCTAGATGAGGACACTTGTAATATTGTTATCCACAGCAATTTAGGTTTAATATTGTACTCTTCGTCGACAATCATCAATAAAAAATATCTGTCTTTACTTTATTCTCTGTAACTCACAAGCAATATATAGATTTTAGAATTTTTCAATAGCATGAATTTTAGTACTCCAAAAAATTGACTTAAAGTCATTACCCGCAATCAACTAATCGCATTAGAAATTTTAAAGTACTTGAAAATAAGAGAAAAAAAAGCATTTATTAAAAGAGACATATTTATTCTAAATATATATATTTCTAGTGAAATGAATAAGAAATAATAGAATTATAACTTTTAATTATACTTACATAAAAGGACGTAATGTCTTTTCTCCTTCTCACCAGAGGAATTTTTATTGTGCATCTCTCCACTATTATTTTCTTTGATTTATCTTTTTATCTGCTAGACAAAATAATGAATATATTTTTTCTTTCTTTTTTTTTCATTGTTTAAGTCGGTAAATAAAAGTAATTTATTTAACAACATAGATCTAGAAGCTCCAGAGTCAATTTCCACATAAATAAAAGTTGCAATTTTAAAGTTTATTATAGGATGTAACACAATCAACTCTAAAATTCAAAAAGAATCAAAAACAAAAAACTTAGTCACAAAACCACACAGGTCTACCCGGACACGGAAAATCTAACAACTAATTTAGTAGACTTACACACTTTAAACTTAGAATTATCACAATTGCAAGATTTGAATGAAATAACCTTTATTGAGTGGTCATAAATTCAATCCAAATTCAGTTCAAATATAATATTTGGATCAGATGTGTGAATCTAAATCCACCTCATCCACAAAACTAATTCAGATTTTATAAATCCAAATCCAGGTACTTAATTCAGTTTTAAATCCAAATTATATATATATATATATATATATACTG